TATATTTAATATTTAATGTGGATATTTATCTTAGATAATTTTATACTATATACCTTATCGTAAATAGATTTTAAAATGTGTGTGTATTTATTGTGAACGTGTATATATGTATATATTTATTATTTTCCTGGAGAAGCCTATTTACACTATCAGTATGAAACTCTTTTTCCCTGTAGATTCTACAGCCCATGTTTTCATGTTTAATCTGACACCTTGCAGCATCATGAACAAACCCATCTGGAAGGCTGCTCTTACCTGGATTCCAAGTGAGTCCCTCTTGACTAGACAATTATATTCTGCAAATGTGAAAAACTGAATACAGGAAAAAAGCTGACACTTCATCCTAAATGCCTAATGATTTAGGAGATCAGTTTCTGTGATTAAAAATGGAATAGATAAAATATAGTGATGGACAGAAATGATGATTTGTGGAAATAAGTGCGTTTGAGTTTTACTTGTTGGAGCAGTTACCGGAGCTCTGCACGCTGGCTGGCACCGCATATGCACAGGCAGTTTAGGTGCACGTGCATTTGTGTGGAAGAAGCAGACAAGATTTGCAGCACACAAGCTCTTCGGGCCTGAAGAAGATCCAAGTCTTTTTAAGGAGAGAGAATGCCATTAGGCTATCCAAGTATGGCAGGCCTTCCACTAAAAACATGCCTGTTCCAGAAGCTGGAAATGGTACTGGATTGTGTATGCAAACCCGGATCTAACCTTTAAACCCAGCTTGAAGCTGACAAGCTGAGTCTCTTACGAAATAGCTGTATGATATTCTTCACCTTCTGAGTAAAAACTGTGGAGCTGGACTAAGTTTACTTCCCTAGAGTGACACTTTTATGATGGCTACCAGTGTTCAGGGCAGTTTGTTTGCAACACCTGCTTAAAATTACAGAGTCCTCATCTGAGTATTTGTTTGGGTTAGCTGTGGAGCTGAGTGAACTCTGCTGAAGAAATTAAACCAGATTTTTAAATTGTTCACTCAAGTATTTTTTAAGACTGATGTTTTTTGTTGAAAAGCAGCTTTTTGGGTTTTGTTTAATTTTTTTCTGGAAGTAACAGTTTTCAAGATATGTATTGTTAGTTTTGGGAGGAGTCTTTAAAAAATATTGCATTTCAGCGAAAACTAATTTTTATCTCTAAGTAGCGTGTCTGCATATATGTTTTTCCTCCCCTCCAGCTACCATTTTCTTACTTGCAATGTCTTAACTAGGAAGTGACATCACCTTTTTGAAGATCGTCTTCAAAGTCTGGCACAGCGGTATTGAAGCGTTACACTGGAAAGAAGTCCTTTGCAGTGGAGCTGATGACGAATACTCAGTGTGCGGAGCACTGAAAGGAGGTCGGTATGGAAAACAGATGGTGCCTTTCCCTTGCCTGGCAGGTCCCCTCCACAACATGGCCATATCCTGCCAGCCCTTTTTCACCACTAAGCAGATTTCTTGAAAGACTAATTGATCGAACCGTGCAGAGAGGTTTTCCTCTCCACAGTCTAGACCAATTCACCTTGCTTGGCAGACAGCAGACTTTAGAGCAGGCAGTTCTCCAGTGCCAGAACCCTACTAAAACAGAGAATTTACAAATTTTATGCTTTAACATCCTTATATTGCAGTTTCGATCTCTATAAATTAGGATTACTAGTATCCTTCATCTCATGACACTTTTGTTGGTAGCATCTTTAAAATGACATGGAAAGACTACTTTTGACTAGACTGGACAGTAAATTTGAGAGGAGCTAGGGACACTACTAGTGTCCAGAACACAGTTTATTTAGATACATGTCTGGGTGCATTTTTAGAGATTCTCTACAGCCATGTATAGTGCTTTTTCATTAGAGAAGAGTCAATCCTGTTGTAGGGTCTAACTACCATTAACATGAGACAGACTCAGATCCAGAGAATTCAGGCAGGATGTCAGACCAAAGGCCAAAAAACCTGTGAGGAGGTCAAAATACACAATCCATGTTTTCCTTTCTTTAAAAACGATTATCGGATCTCTTTGGTTAGCATTCAATGGAACTACTGTTACAAGTTAAGTCAGTGGAGTTATCACAGTAGGATGGTCTGTAGATGTTACAGGAGCAACTGTGGTTAATTTCTACTTTCTAAAGTGGTTTAGACAAATAGGCAGAGCTCTGGGAGAAGAAACAGGTGAGGGCTTTATCACTGGAAGAGTAAATGGCATTGGCACTGATGCTGAGAGTTGTGCCACATTGCTTTGAAGTTATTTAGGAAGTTTGATTGATGGCTTTATGACTAAGTAACCATTTATATTTTAATTATCTCTCTTTTACAGAAACAATTGTATCAGCATTTGACATTAAAGGTGCAAGAATAACTTTTCCAAAGGTACTTTTCAGCATTTTATATAAAGAAATAATAATAGCAAAAATCACATATTTTCACATGTACATGTTTTCTGAAGAGAGATGTTCACCCAAACTGTAGAAAACAGCAAAAGGAAATGTTAGAAAACTTTCTCATGCTTGAAGTAATGACTCCAGAATAGTAGCATCTCTAAAATGCTATATGTGCTCAGATTATTATTCCTCTATTATTCCTCCTTTATTTTATGAAAGAAAAGGCAGAAGATATCAGTCAATGTCATCTTCATCATTGCATTTTGTTTGGTAAATTATTTTGTTTCCTTTTACCTGTTTGAGTAAGTCCATACATATTCTTTCTGCCCATTTTCTTCTTTATTTTACGTTCTCTTCACGTGCTGGTCTGTCCTCCCTGAAACCCTTTTCAAAGATTTGAACAGGGCTAACAATATCCAAAAGTAAAAGGAGTGCTCCAGCGTTAAACCAGGAGCAGTACTAGTCCCCAGGTTAACCCACTCTCATCCAACACCTGCCTCATCAGCTGCCTGAGCTTTCCCAAGACCCTTACCATCCCTATTAATCCCCACAAATGTCACTAAGGAGCTCCTACTGGTACAAAATCTCCAGCTTCCCCTTAAAGCTTATGGGCCTTTAACAGTGCTGAACTCCATCCAGCCCAGTGTCTCTTCTAGTCTCAGAGCTGGCAGTAGGCTGGAATGTCCTCTGCCGTAAGCAGTCCTCCTATAGATGAGGAGACCTGACACTTCCCAATGGGAGTCTGCCAGACCAGGAACTAATCCTAATCATAGCCTTTGCTGTGAACTAGAAACTCTTGCAAGCCTCCCCCTCTTTATGTTAGTCTTGTGAGCCCTTCAGCTCCCAAGTGCTCACCCTCAGCTTGCCGTAGCAGAAGAGGAAGGTGACAGGTGTCAAAGAAGGTAGGGTAAGACCTGGGTTCGGTAGGGGCCACCAAGCTATCTTCTGTCCTGATGCCTACGAAAGTCTGTGTGGGGCTGTGAAGACGGGTAGCTAGACAACAGCTAAGCCTGGGGTGGTGCTGCTTTATGGATCAGACTGCTGGGTGTGGATAAGCAAAGCACCGGGCCCGGAAGGAATGCTAAGCTGACGCAAGAACTGATATTACTTACATCAATGTGCACTGTGAGAAAGCGTGGCTGGCTTAGAGCTGGGCTCGTGGCTAATGTTCAGGCGAACTGTATCCTGCTAGTCAAGGAGCAGGTGCTTCACGCAGGGAAGTGCGCTAGGCACTTACAGCGTGATTTAAGTAGGCAGCTTGAGACCTCACAGTAGGAAAAGTGCTGGTTATACTTTGAACAGGGACCAAAGAATGACTACATCACTATCCTCACATGGGGCCTTCCTCCCACTCTTCTCACTCTAGCATGCTTCATCCTAATCTTGACATCATGTCCAAACTCAGGACAAACTGTTTGCCACCAATAATAGTACGAGATTGCTTTAGCTTTCATCAAGCGAATGTTCGATGTATTCACATGATACGTTCACTACAAGTTGATGATTTTGGTAAACACCACTGAGGCTGAATAGCTGTTAAATATCCACTATGTGATTACCACTGAAAACAGAAAGATGGACTGTCTAGTACAACAAACTCTGTTACAAAACTGGTCAGAAGCTGTGTGGTATGTAGCCTGGATGACTTCCCTAGGACTGCCTGTAAAATACAGAGGCTGTTATTGCAACTACCTATGGTCTGCATATGGGTATTGGGGTGAGAAGGTGGCAGAAAGTCAGCAGAAAATGGAAGTGTTGGTAGGACTGAATCCTTGCTGAATGTAAGCTATAAGGACTAATAAGTTTACTGCCTCACAGCAGGGACAAAAAGGCCCATTGCTGCAGAAATGCAGCCTGGTGTATCAACTCAGTTAATTCGCATTTGTGGAGTCAGAAATGTTACTCTAGGGAACAGTACTGGAGGGGGGAGCAGGTGCCCTTGGGAGCACAAGACTCGGGTTTGAGAGAGGACCATGACAAGTGGTCTTTTCTCCCAAGTAACCAGCAATAGTACAAGAGGAAATGGCCTCACGTTTTGCCAGGAGAGGTTTAGATTGGACATTAGGAAAAATTTCTTCACTGAAAGAGTTGTCAAACATTGGAACAGGCTGCCCAGGGAAATGGAGGAGTCACCCTGATGGTGTTCAAAAAACATGTTGATGTAGTGCTTCTAGACATGGCTCAGTGGGCATGGTGGTGTTAGTTAGATGGTTGGACTTGATGATCTTAGATGTCTCTTCCGACCTAATGATTCTAAGTGCAAGCTGGACCACAGCCTCCCGCTGTTCCTTAGTACCCTTGGCATGAGAACAAAGTTGAGCACTAATTTTTCATACACACATATCTGAATATCCCCATGATAACAGTCCCTGATGGGAATCTTTCAGTCCTAACAGAAATCACCAGAAACATTCCAAGAAGCTACTTAGAAAAGAGCAGGCAGCTTTAGAGGTGGGCCCAGGCCAACCTCACGAGGTTTAATAAGGCCAAGTGTAAGGTCCTGCACCTGGGTTGAGGCAATTCCAAGCACAGACACAGGCTGGGCAACGACTGGATTGAGAGCAGCCCTGAGGAGAAGGACTTGGGCATGCTGGTGGATGATAAGACGAACATGAGCCAACAGTGTGTGCTTGCAGCCCAGAAAGACAACCGTATCCTGGGCTGCATCAAAAGATATGTGACCAGGAGGTTGAGGGAGGTGATTCTGCCCCACTACTCTGCCCTTGTGACACCCCAACTGGAATACAGCATCCAGCTCTGGAGCCCCCAACATGGGAAAGACATGGAATTGTTGGAGCAAGTCCAGAGGGGGGCTACCAAGATGGTCAGAGGGTTGGAACACCTTTCCTATGAGGACAAGCTGAGAGTTGGGCTTGTTCAGCCTGGAAAAGAGAAGGCTCCAGGGAGGCCTTATAGTGGCCTTCCAGTATCTAAAGGGGGCCTACAAGAAGGCTGGGGAGGGACTTTTACAAGGGCCTGCAGTAACAAGATGAGGGGTAATGGTTGGAAGTTGGGAGAGGGCAGGTTTAGACTAGATATAAGGAAGAAGTTCTTCACCGTGAGGGTGGTGAGACACTGGCACAGGTTGTCTAAGGAAGCTTCCAGGGAGGGCCCTGGTAGTGTTCAAGACCAGGCTGGATCAAGCCTTGAGCAACCTGGTCTAGTGGGAGGTGTCCCTGCCATGGCAGGATGGAACTAAATGATCTTTGAGGCCCCTTCCAACCCAAGCGGTTTTATGATTCTATGATTATGCACTAATTTTCTTTTTTTTTTTTTTTTCTCTTGCTTGTTTTAGGGCAATTATAATGTTATTATACAAGCATTCTCTGATGATTTTCAGAATAATATGGTCATGTGCTTGAATTTCACCATGATAATAAAACAAGGTGCTTTCTGAATGTGATGAATGTTTCAAATAATAATTCCAGAACACAGAGGTCACTTCTGCAAGCAACTGGAATCTGAGCTGCGAAATAATAAGCACACTAATTTTCCTGAGGTAGAATACATCATGTACTGTCTGGAAAACTACATGATGGATAGTCTTATCCATTTATAGCACTGCTGTAATCAGATGTTCAGCCAATGTGCACAAACTCTCTGGGAAACAGGCATCCTGATTAATCCACAGAATAACTCTGACTGGATGTCAGGCTGAGGACTGCATTTTGGTGCTGTGCCTTGACTTATGAAAAAACCGAGTCCTTCAGACTGCACTAAACTAATACAAGAAGTTTTGAAGTGCAAGAATCAGAAGTTCACCAGTACTCAATTTAAAATAAAACAGCAATTGAATCAATAAAACTTGTTTGTATAATCAATTTGAGAACTGTTTTTTTATTCTCCTGTTACTTTCTGATTATCTTTAGACGTTTCCTAATGTTTGGCTCCATTTGTACTGAGCTGAACCAGAGGAGTAACAATTTGTTACGTGGTACTGGCTGATATGAATAACATCCAAAGGGGAACATGTTTCCAGTTACACTGATATCGTACAGCTGAATTTAGCCATCCAGAGCTGTAACTGCAACCCCATAGCGCATTTTTAGCTCTTGCTCAGAGTCCAAGGGGCAGAGGCTACACAAGCTGTCTCCTTTGGAAGGAAGAGGATGGTCATTGCCCAATAGGTTGATCTACTCCTCAGTTATCTAAAGCATATCTAAAGCTTTTGCTGTAGCTTCTGCTGTTGGGCAGCCCAATATTCAGCACCCACCTTCCTTCTCTACTGCACTTCCACATCCAAGACATTCGGTAAGATTTTGATGGAGTGTAAGGTTTGGTCCCTAGTAAGAGAGCTGGCATCCTTTCAGGCCTCATGGCTCTTTGGTGCCACTGCATGGGGAAAGATGTCTGACCAGTGCAGTGTACAAGTGCTTCCTTCCTTCAGACAGGCACCCTCCTTATGGATTCCATGTTCTCTTTTGGTCCTCAGTCCCCAGCCAGCGGTTGCTTAGTAAGTTCAGACGCTTTTTCCTAACGAATGGGTTGGTGTTGAAGTTGCCCTTTGTGTTGGCCACCAGGTCGTGCTGTGTCTAGCAGATTGCTTCTAAATGCCTGAAAAAAATGAAAAACTGGAACAAACCAACCCCGTTTCAAGTTGCTAAATATCAAGCATGAAAATTAGCAGAAGAGAAGCTTTTAAACTCACTTTACATGCAAAGAATTTTTTCAAACCGCGTATCAGAAAACTCAACAAAAATTTGAGTTTTCACATGTGTAGATGTGTAGATGCTCCATTTAAAACTTGGTTTCAGTATAGCTAGTTTGGCAAACTAAAGCAAAATCATCAAGAGTCAATAAAAATATAAGAAGTAGAACTGTGTCGTGACAGGAGACATGAAGCCACGATTACATACAAGCGGCAATGGCAAAGCATCTGTGCTTGTATTCAGTCCACAGACTGTTCCAGGAGCAGCCCACCGTGCAGTATCAACAGCAGCTCCTGCTTACGTTTGAACCAAGTGCCTAGAGTTGCGATCAGTTTCCTCTTAATCTAAAATAACAATCAACAAGCAGCCAGAAAGCCTGATAATCAATTCCTACTTTTCTTCTTCTACTTCGCTCACTTCAACTAGCATTACTGGGCTAGGGAACAATCTTACTGTATGATGTCCCTTTGTGCCCATTTCACAGTGTCCAGCAACCACCAGGTGAAGCCTCAAAATAGATTTTAGTGGAAAATCTGCTGAGTTTTTTGCTGCCCTGAATTATTTGGGGTGTTAGAGGAAATAGTTTGTTTATTAAGCAGCAAGTACCACAGGTACGAGAGACTAATGGCTCCTGGAAATCAAGGGCAGTCGTGTGCTCTATTTTTTGTAAGCACACATTTTAATGCCTTATAGATGTTACAGAAAATGCACAGTATATGTAAATGTGGAAACAGCATTTCTGGATCTAAAGAGGGACATTCACAGATAAACATGTGTATTCAGTATCTTGCATTGCAGACTGTTATAGTGTAGATCTTCAGCTGAAGGTTATGATTACACATGCCAGCAGATAGGATTGCGAGGCAGAACGCAGGAGCCACAACTTTATAAAGCAAAGACCTTTCAAAGGCCTCAAGCTCCCTCCTGCGCATGACCGGAGGTGTCCGCTTATTGCAGTGCTGGTGGCTGCTGCGCCACGTTCCTGCATGGACAAGAGGAGAAACGTTTTTGTAGGGTGTAAGATCACGCAAACAGCTCACCCTGAAATTGGTGTGATAGCTTGGGGTGAAGGGCACAGATGAAGACAGAGCTTTGCTCTGTGTGTCTTGTTCCCAGGACAGAGCTGTTACAAGGTTTTCCTTTCTGTTGCTGTTGTCTGCAGTTGGCAACAGTTATCATTTAACTTTTTCCCTTTCCAAACTCTCCTGAGCCCGTACTCAGGGCTCTAGATCAAAGAGGAATCTACTTAGGATAAAGTGAATTACTTGGACTCAGTAATGACTGATCTGAATGTTTCCCTTTTCTTCAATTTACTGGGTCAGTAAACTTTGATCCATTTTTTACTTCTTCATTTCCTGGCTCTGTCCAGAGTTCGAGTGGTGTGAATGCTGTGAAGTAAACCATCCACTAAGTATTTGTTGCTTAAAATATTCAGTAAGTGCTACACGTCCTGAGATACCTGTATTTTGCCAGGAGTCCCAGTGAGCTGTGGAAAGACCCTTCCCCTGCAAACTGAAATAAATCAAGGAGGGCCTCACATGCAGCATGCTTACCTGAAATTATTATCTAAAGTCTTCACAAATATCTTTTTTTTCTCTCTCTCATTACTGTTGTTTTTAAGCAGCTGTCAGGATTTGCTGCAGATGGGAAAATAGCTTTTCTTCACCCCCTCACCCTCTGTCGCCAAATATGTAGTTATCAGAAGAAGCAGTTCCTGTAAAATGTGTTTTCCAATAAGAGCACACACTTTTAGAGCTGTGTTATTACAGTTTCTTGTGATAAAACCGGTAAAGCATGCATAATTTCAAATGAGAGGAGTCCTGCTGACCACAATAACATATACGTTTGCTGGCTGAAATTGTAACACCATTTGAGAACAGACACATGAAGAAAATTCCACATAATTCAGGAATTACAAGAGCATATATTGTTTCCAGAGGTGTACTGGAAGACATAAGCAATCCCTTAGTCACCAGTTAGCTTAGCTGGTAAAATGTATGCATATTCATACTGAACAAATAAACTACATGGTGCCTGCAGCAAGAAGGACCTGGACTTGATGATGCAGGAGATGTGTACTGGTCTGTTTTAGAGGCATCACAAGAGAAACATTGCAGCATTAATCCCTTTTGCAGAATTTTTTTCTTGGCCAAAAATGCTAGTAATTGCCTTGGAAGTGTCAGTGTAGCATGCTATTCTGAATGACTTCAGCTGCTTCGTTCTGCCTGTGTGTTCCTGCCAGCACAGTGAGTTCAGGGGCAGCAGATGGGGATAGTGACATTTCTAATGGGAAGAGATGGGGAGGGAGGGAGGGAGGGAGGGAGGGAAGGGAAGGCAGATCATGCCTGCAGAACTCAGGGGGGAGAGGACAGGAGAGAGGAAGTTTGGCATTAGAAATGACTGGACTTTGGAAATCTTGGAAAATAGTCGCCATGTGCATGTACTTGTCTTGTGGATCCCAGGGGCCTTGCTGCATGGCTGCTGTAGATGGGTATGTCCATAACCTCTTTACTTCAAGGTACAAGTTACTGCTGGCGAAGAGAGACCTTACGTAAATGTATATAAAATACATATATATTATATATAAACACATATATGTTTTTGGCCAGATAATTTATAAGTTTCCCAAAGCTTCTGTCCGCAAAGAAATAAGGGGTTTTTTGGGGGGGCTTTAGCTTAAACAGCTGCCTTAGCTAAAGGTGTTGTGCTTTTAAATTTAAATTTCTTACTAGTATTATTTCTTACTGATATAACTAAGAAAGCAAAACCTTTGATAGCAAACCTAGGTCTTTGCTCACAGGAGGGAGGGGTCACTCATTCTGAGTATTAAGGTCCTTGTCTGCCCATTTTCCTGCTCTGCACAAAACTCTCAAGTACTACAGAGAAGATGATAATTTATTTTCAAATATTAACTTCTGCTAATTTGGTACATCCATTGTGGGTTTTTTTCTCCAAGGGCATTGGCATCTCTCCTGAAGAAGTACCTCGATACTGATTACGAAGTTAGATTAATTTTTACATACATTCTGTTCAGCCAGATTTGATTTAGATGTTTCACTTTATTACCCATATTTTTTTGTACTTTTAATGGAGTAGTGTTGTTTAACAACTTCAGTAGTGCAAATTAAAAAAAAAAAAAACCAACAGACAACAACACAAGCCTACAATAATTAAAGATAAATACAGAAAAGCAAAATTGTGGCATTAGTCCTCTGTCAGCAATAGAATCAGAAAAATCTGCCCTTCACTTACGAGATGTGTAAAGGAGGACACTATCAAACAAAACATAATGCATACAAGAACGAGCTGTTGTTCGCTTTGATGCTAAATTAACTCTGTTTTAGAATGACTTCACTTTATTTCACGTCTGAATATCAGCTGCAGGAACTGATAGTTATCTTTTATAATCCTACATTGCACTGAAGAAATCTGCCCTATGTCAGTGGACATTGCATGTACTGGAATTTTCCTTATATCCTTAAAGCATTAAAGGTGTTTCAATAGCATAGTTGTGACATTAATGAAAGTTTCATGTGTGACTGTCAGAAAAACAGACTGCCAGCAACAATATGTTTTTCTCGTTCCCCAAGCTACCTTCCACTGACTCTGACTGCTAAGTATACAGTTTCCCTAAACTGTAAAAGTTTTGGTGATTTTAATATTCTAACTATGGAGGGAAAAAGTTCCTAAAAAAGAAAAAATCTAAAGAAATTGCTTTTCTAGGACAATCCAAAATAATAAAATAAAG